CACTGTGCCCTGACGCGGTCCCAGCCATCTCCAGCAGCCTCCTGGATGTTCCTGGGCACATCAGGGATGTTCCTGCTTCGTTCCCCCCCCCCATGCATCAGCAGAGCTTGAAAGTTTGAAAAGTTTAATCATTAAAAAACCCCACTAAGCTCTTGATCACAGTTGTATCTTGCAGCGTGACTCCCACTGAGTAATTCCACATTTTCTTAACATTGCGTTTTCAACCCGGCTTTAGAGGAAGTACTCTTGGACATGACTTTGGCACCTTAGGAGATAGTGGAAACCCACCCGTACATCTCAGTGGAAATGCCCAGCTGGCCATCAAGTCAGTGAAGAACCAGGAGCAGGGACCTCCGCTCCGGGATGTGTGACCAGCACCGAGCTGGACAGCCAGGCACAGCTGAATCAGAACCCTCGTACTGCTCCCAGCCCTCCGCTTTCTGCTGCACCCCTAATCCTCCTGCATAAGGCTTTGTCGAAATGAAAACAGGAATATTTCTATACCTGTTCAATATCAAACTATACATGTACCTTTCAGGAAAATGTAAACTTGCTCCAGGACTAGGGCTGAAATAGAAAACTGTATAGAAATATACATACTAGAGGAGCACTTGGAGTTCAGGAGCTGGAGGAGTTAGATTGAAGCTCACCAGAGCCTACTGAGCTTATAAAATTATTTTTAACAGGGACATAGAGCAGCTTTCCACCTTTCATGCTTACTGAAAACTTCAGAAGTGTTTTCTGGTTTAGGGTTTTAAAGAATAGTGATTTTTTTTCCTGTTGGGGGGGGGAACGGGGACAGACAGACACACACACGGACACATGACTGTTGGTTTGTTTCTGGTTTGTTTTTTAGGGGTCTGGATCGAAATGACAGCCAGAAATGCACAGGCCTATTAAGTATGTGTAAATCACACATTCTAGAGCCAGTTTATGGGCACAGTGAAATGTGAAGCAGAATAAGGGTATCTGCTTGTAAAACCTTCATCCATCCATCCGTTTCATATTTATAACCAACAATTGAGAGTGATGCAACCACCTTGTACCAACAGTTAGTGAACAACAGGTAAGCAATTTCTTTTGAAGAGAAAGCCCTGGCGATGGAGCTAACAGCCAGACCAGAGACAGCACCACTTGCTTCCTTCCCTGCATGGTGGTGCCTGTATCAGCAGGGGAAAAACCCCGCAGCCTGTGACAGTTGCCCATACGCTTAAATTTGCCGGATATAGGAGTGTTTTGCCAGGACTATGCCCTGTGTTTTGTAATAAAGAAGAACAGACAGGAGTCCAAAACTTGGCAGAGTGAGAAAAACAAGAAATGCAACTTAGCATGTGAATGTTTTGCTCTTTCAGGTTAGAAATTGGTCCCAGCACCAGACGACAAGGAACATGGGTCATCTGCCAGCAGAGGAATGGGAAGTGAAGGAGGCAGGATATTGAACTTGAGGCAAAAAGAAGGAGAGGAATCAGAAAGAGAGGACAACCTGCAGGCAAAATACCTACATATGTTTGCTTTCAGCTCTAACTGAAGCAGCACGCTTGCTCAAACAGGCTGGAACAAATCACCTCCTGTTCACTGGCAGACATTTAATGCACATCTTTCTCAATTCGCTATCTACACTTGACAGCAGTGCTCTTGTCCTGCTGCTAATTTACGAAGCGTGCGCTATGGCCAGGTGACGTACCACCAACGAGCCCCTTGCATGTCAGCAGAATTCACCCTGCGCTCCCGCGGTAAAGCAGCCGTCCCCACGGCCGCATTCACTGCAATGCTTCATTGCAGAGATCTAGGATGGACCCCTTTGCCCCCAGACAAGGAAAGACCAAAGTCTCAGGATTGCAAAGTTAACACTTTATTGATTTTAAATTGATGTAGAACAGAGGGGCAACAATGGCTCAAGTATTCATTAAGAAAACGCCCCAGGATATTTCACATATAGACTCTTAATACAGTTTGTATGGAAACAATTGAAGAAGTTGTAAAATACTCTGAAGTCAGAAAGGGGGATTCACAGCCCTGTTTTAAGCCTTCATGTTCCCAAATACTGTCATCCCTTGATCAATTTCATATCCTTCCCCAGAAGAAGGTTATGGAATTGCTGGCTACATCCTTCCCCCATCAGGTACAGAAACAAATGATAGTAAACTTATGAAAGGAACTATACGTCAAAGTAGCCATGAATCAACATTTACTTATCTAGAAAGACTGGTTGTAACATCACTATTTTCAAAAAGCTAACAAATAAGCAAGGTTACAATATCAACACTTTTAATCCAATTTCTGTTTAAAAACTGAAGTAGTACCTTGCCTCCAATTCCATCACTTGTCCACATGTTTTACAAAACACTTCTAAAAGATTTGAATAACTTTTTTTTTTTTTTGATAACTGGCAAGGTGAACTGAAGAGTTAAAAGCACTCAAGTGAGCTGATTCAAGTGACAGTTTAGCGCATATCTACAATTTTAAAAAATATTACTTTGGGCACAGTTTTTCTCCCTCAAACTCTAGCAAGACTGGAAACCAATCCTCCTAACCTACGTTTTGTTCAGCCAACTGGAAAGGGCTATTGCCTGCCTTTTAACCATCTATTTTTTTTTATTTTTTTTTTTTACAAACTGTAGTGAGATTCACAGTTTCCGCTAAGGAGACACACAGAGTTGCCCCTTCTCTACATCAATCATGTGCTTCAGGTTTGTAGTAGTGTAACCCCAGCCAAGATGCCACCACGGGCAATGTTTGTTTCTCTGAGTGAGCAGGCCAGTTTTACAGGAAAGGCAACAATACGGTCAGAGGCCTGACTTCAACCAGCTCTCAACATTTGCTGAACTGGAATGTCAACTCCAGGGCAACAAGAGATATGTGGATTTACAGCACTATTTTGCAATGGATAGGCTGGCTTCAGAAATGCTCAATGCAAATGGGCAAAACCTTCAATTAAGGCCTTTACAGTAGCTTGTCAGATCTGATGATGACAGGCAGCGCTGAACCTCTGAAGAAGCACTAACCTCCAGCTGCAACACATATGCAGCCTGTAAACCAGAAGATGCATGTGAATACAGGTCAATGGTAAAAGGTAGGGGAAAAAAATAAAAATCAATTAATTGCACTGGGTCTTTGGTTATACAGTGATAGCACTATGAACGATTGCAACACATCAAGACAGTTGTAGCAGCCTTGTGTGTCCCATAATGGCAGTTAATGTCAGATCCAGGCACACAGTTTAGATGAAGAACACAGAACTGTCGAAATTGGTCCCAACATCAGGAACTTCACATTATTTTAATCTGAACAGCTACTCTGTTTCTAGGTTGAAAGCTAACCACCCAGTGCACCTGCAGCAGAACTGCAGTGATTTTAACCAAATTCAGTTGTTAAACCCAGATGAATGCAGCTCTTACTGGGAAGCAAGAAGTTTTCTCTTCATTCTGCCATTCGAAATGTGGCATTGAAAAACTGCAGTAATCCAAAGGTCCCAAAGTCAACCTGGTCTCAAGTAGGTAACACAAATATCACTGCCATGCAACAGTAAGGGATGCACCTCGCTTGCTATTCCATCTTCATGAACATAACATCTTTGAACCCACAAATTTAAGGCAAAAATTCAATTGGTCCCATTTACCTGAACACATGTTTTCTTGCAATCAAACATTTTCTGGTTTACAGTGATACACAACAGGTTTTTTTGATGCTGGAGATAAAGTTCATTAATGGTGCTACCAAAATTTTGGCAAAAATTCCAAAATCAGATTTAAAACCACAATGCTTCCCTTTTCAATTTGGCAGCATTTTGAAAAGACAAACACAGTAAGACACACAAAGATTTTGCTCAATTTTGACTAAATGACCTGTGTTTTCACATGATAAATAAGCAATGTTTTATATCAAAACAAACCAAAAAACTGCATGAAATGAAAGTTTGTGCTGTTTCATGATCACAGTATTTTCTAGTTAAATATATCTGCTCTTTGTTATATTCCTGGCACCCAGGACAAAAAATCTTTAAATATATATTTCATGTAGGCAATAGCTTCTTTGCATATCTCTCTTCAAAAAATACTTTATAGTAGTATATAAATAGGTAATCTACGTTTAATTTTATAATCTTGCCTCAAAACTATATATCTGTTTCATTTTTGTAAAGTATCAATTTCCCCAATATTATTAAAGCTGACAAACTATTGAAATGGAAATGCTGTCATCTTCCATAATAGAAGTAGCAATTTTCTAGGAAAAACCCACAGCAACGCTCGTCAGTTGTTTTAACCTGAGCATTTGGCCTACTTAGAGTAGCAGCTTTTTTTTTTTTTTCTCCCCATCACACATGCTCACATACACACATTCTTGCACACACACAGTACAAGCACACACTTCCAGACACTGGTAGGCCACGTAGTGCTTCCCAGGTTCTACAGCAAAGTGGGAAGCAGTGTAGCTAACAATTTAACTACACTAAATATACACAAGCAAACACCTTAAGGCAACCACTGCAATGAGGGGTTTAAGTTGCAGGGGTGAATTTCTGTTGTAACAAAATGGGCTGTATACAGCACACATACATGCCTCTTTAACCCTCCAAAACAATGCGACTTTTTTTTATATTTTGTGCAAATTTCTAAGCCTTCTACCACTTAAGGCAAAGAGTTTTCATTAACAAAAAAGGTCAGAAAACATCCTTATATCTATCCAGTAACATTTTGATTTGCTACAATATTTTCTTAAAATGTGCACAAGTTCATAGTAGAGGTACTGGGTCCCCAGTACCTACTGATAAAATTATTTCAATGGACAACATAAATCTTGAAGAAAAAAAAGGACCAGAAAAAGCAGCTTCAAATATGCATATAAGCAACATCAACAACAAAAGTAGTTAACTTAAGTCTGCTAATACTGAAACTTCATAACGTAAAAGTTTGATACTAATTTTCAGAATCTTACAGCAACTAAACTTAAGTTTTAAATAAATACACTTCTGTTCATTCACATGTCGTGGTCAAAGCAGATCAGTGCCATGACCCTGCTTGCTGTTGGTCAAATTCCCCTATTAGTCTCTTAATATGAGACAGCTTCCTGTGGAGATACTCACACCTACTCTTGTCTTGATAGTAGGTGGGGCTACACTGTAAAGATAAGATAAAAAGAAAATTAGGGCATGAAAACATTTCTGCAGAGTTTAATATTTTGCGTTCTTTGTTTACAGATAGCTTTGAGCCAGTCTCAGTGATTACCACCTCCAACAAATCTGATTTACCTTTTGATACTCTTCTAAGATTTCCTCATGAAGGACCTTCAAGAAAAAAAACCACGAAGACGATATGAAGAACATTTCACTACTACCAGAAAACTCAAATTTATGTAAAACTCTAAAAATACACTCAGTTTTACTCAAGATGTTTTCTTATCCATGAGCCACCACTCTTCTGCATTGCAAAAATAAACCCCCACCTCCCCACATCACCCAAGATCTGCAATTAAACCTGTAAATAGGCAACAAAAGGAGCATGTGTTCAAATATTCCCTTTGAGAAGTCGCTCATGCTGCTGTGCATTCACAGACAGCTCAAACAGGTGGAGTTTGAGGGCTGAACAACTTTTTGCAGGGTTTTGCCATGCTTCAAAAAATCAGAGCTAGCCCACACAGAGTTTGAGCATGTATGTAAATTCTGCAAGGTTTCCCTTTGTCCGATTGAGCAATACCAGGGATTTTAAAATACTCCTTCTGCTCACGAATACATTTGCAATCCGGCCAAAAGCTAAATAAGAGCCAACCAAAAATCCTCATCGTGCACACAGAATTAAAGAATTCTGATATTGAACATGTGGAATTTCTATGTCCAAATAAGAGAAGTCCAGGCTGGAAAGCCAGAATATCAGGTTTTTAACACCCTTCTCTGCTAAAATCATAGCTAGGATCACCCACCTGGAAGATGAGCAAGTTGTGGCTGTAGGTTTAGTTAAGCATATAAAAACATGGGAAATAGAGGGTCAGGCGCTGGTTTCCATGCACTTCCAATCTTCTACCCCATCTGTGTAACTGCACTCCCTCACCTGGCCAGGATGCTGAGGCAGTCAGCAAAGCCTGAGCCAGTCTGGTAATTCCAGCTATTCCTCAGTCTCAGACACTGAGCCTGGCAAGTCTTTTAAAACCATGTCAATATGATTTAACAGACAAATACACTGAAGAGTCTGCCTGTGCTGAAAATGTGGACTTTTGGAAGGTATAAGAGGGAGATGAAATGCAATCTTCACAGTTTTATCCTTCTTTACCTTATATTCTTTGGACCCTGGAGAAAGAAGCTTCCGTTGTGCATCAAACTGCATGAATCTCTGGTTAATACTCTCTATCCGAGCATGCAAGTTCCGGTACTCATCGTACTCTGCATTGAAGTCATTCTTGTAACTCTGGCGTTGCTCATATGAGACTACAGTTATGTATTTTCTAATGGAAAAATAAGCATACATGCAATTTTACACCAAGGACATTTTGTAGTGAATATCAAGCATAGACACCCAATCAGTTAACTATGTGACTGACTTTGCCTCTACATGTAAGCACGTGCTCTAAGAGAATGTATTTAGGTAATTATAGAAATCTACCATATTTTTGTGACAGTTATTTGCTAATATTTTACTTTTTAGAGTTTTTATTCAGAAGCAAAAAAAAATTGTAGCATACTTAGAAAACATCAGCAATCATTCAAATATAGAATGACCAATAAATGCATCAGCCTCAGTGAAAGAAGAGAAACTGCTAGATTATAATCTCTTTCTATGAAGAGACAGGTTAATTAAGCCATATTTACTTTTGAAAATTCATTTTCATTACATGTTTGGAAGGGACTGCATTTATGGAGTTGGATACGGCTTAGGTTTTTGGCTACATTTGTGCCTAACAGCAAAGCATAGTTAAGGATAAAATTTGATTATTTTAGTGGACACCAGTTCCATTGTTGTCCATTCAACTAAGGCATATGCAATACAGCAGCAAAAACAAATTGTGGAGAAGTCTGAAACTAAAAAAAAGCCCATCACATCACCTCCTAAGGAGGGCAACCCATAAATGCTTAAATCCACTGATGCAATTGAAACTTTCTTCATTCTTCTCTCCCTCAAATCAACATGAACGGATTTAACAAGCTCATTATACAAATCTGAGATGAAGCGTCAATGCGAGTAATAGATATAATTTCCCACCGCCATCACACCAATACTTCTCATCCTCATAGCCTAAAGACCTGGTTCTGTGTGGATGATACAGCACCTCCACATGGGGACAAATCCTTCAAACCACCCTTAGACTAATTTTAACGAGCAGTAAAAATTTAACAAGTTGAAAGTCTGTACCAACACAGGTAACTTTTGCTGGTGATGTATCCCAGGCCAGATGCACCTGATGGGAGTATTAGACAGTTTTTAAAGGAAAACTAAAGATGACTTCAACATTTTGGGAGGTACCTGTGTAGCAATAGCGTGGAGTACTGGCTTATGCACAGTTACATCCCGCAGCAAGAGTCCTGCACAGGACAAGAGACCAGCAAAGCACTCACAATGTGTGTGGAGAGGGAAGAAATGAGTAGAAGTGGGGAGAAATGTGAATCTGTTTTTTCTCCTCTAGCTTTTGCATCCTTTACTCTCATAATCTTTATATTAAGATAGAAAGTATCTTTATGCTAAAGCTGTGATTATACTCATGAATTATGTTGCTCTTAGAGACAGTAAGAGAAGCTGGAATAAACTATCAAAGTCTTTTAAACTGGATCAAATTGCAGGTGCTCTCAGGTTTCAGTCTTTCTGTAATGATCAGGCAGGTGTCTGAAACAGTGTGACCTGATTTTTTTCCAAGACACCATGGCCAGTAGGTTATCTGTGAGGTTGTTCCAGAGGTTGCTCCTTTCACAGAGAATTTATCATTAGAGTTCTTACTCCCACTCAGAACTAAACCAACTGTATGAAATCTTGCATGAACGCTTTTTTCTTTTGGTTTTTTTTTTGTGTGTGTGGTTTTGGGGTTTGTTTTGGGTTTTTTTTAACTTTTAGCAATGGCTATTGGCATCCTACTTTAATATTAGATTACATCAAATAACCATATACTTTAGTCCTCAGTATCACCGTCCTCAGCTGATCGGGAAGCAGACAGCAAAGAGCTGAATCTGTCCACTTTCACCCAGCAGAGGCCGGGAATTAAATGTTAGGGTGAGAACTCAAACCTACATGTGAAGCACTAAACTGCTTCCCTGCAGGGCCAGACTTACTTTCAGTCTCTCCACGGAGCATCACTTACTCTATTAAATATGATGTAGGGCGCTACCACGCCATCTACTTTAATGCAGATGGAAGATGCACCAAAGTTCAAGTGCTACAGGGAAGCCTGACCTCCCTTGCTGACGTTATTCCTCGACAGAAGCTGGTGAACCTGGCAGTTTGCAGCATTTTAACAGACAGACACAATTCTCCTTCCCCTCCTGCACTGCAAATATGACAAGGGGGCTCAGCACCACTACTGCGGCTGATGCTGCACAATTGCACTGCTAGGTAGTGTCAGGCTCATCTTGGCTTTACTTACCGTGGTGCTCATTTCAGCTCTGAGCACTAAGGTCCCATCAAAACCTTCTCAAACTCATCCTTTCATCCTTCCAACAGAGGAAAGAGCTTTACATTGTGCCCCACCATGCCTCCCCCCCCAAAAGCATTTTTTTAGGAATTCAGGTTGCACTGACCATGTTATTCCAGTTACTCCACTGCAGCCTCCTTCAAGTTTCACATTTTTAAAAAAAGGCCACCAATAAAACAGTGGGGAAGAAGCCCAGACACTGGGCATTTGCACAAGCTATTCCTCTGTTTTACAACAGTAAAGAAAAATCCTGTTGTTAGAAAAGTTTTAATATTCTAAAGTATTTAGGCAACCAAATGATTCTGCTATTAAAGCTATTTCATTTTAAAGCAAGTTCTTTAATACTTGTCATGGATGAAAACCTTTTTTATACAGCAGGTAAATTTTAACTTGTAGGAATATTAATCTGATATGTGACTTGTTTAGGAGCTAAAATTAAACTTACTGGGAAGTCCTTCTGTAATTTTACAGACTGCAATATACCAGTCATTGTAGATATGCAGCATTTCAATGCAAGATTAATGCATTTTTATCTTGCTTTGTAGTCAAAACTAAGCAGCTAGAATTCAAAATCTACATTGAAGTTTTTCTGTTTTCTCTAGCTCTTTGGTCTGCAACTCTATGGTGAAATCAGATGTTTTGCTGTAGCTTTATGTTAGTCAGTGGCCATTTTACATCAAAGCTTTAGAAATAACGTTGATGGTTAACTCCTGTTAGCTCATATATAGGCTTGGTAATGCTGGACTTTAAAGTCTGCTATCTTCCCCCCGCAACCTTTCCATCCTAGATGCACTAAGCAGTGAAAACACAAAAAAGATGTTCAAATTTACATATTCAGTATTTTAGTACTTGGCTTTCCTCCTGTATTGCCTCACCTCCAAAAAGAAAACAGTGCACATTCATATTCCTTTTTTATTGTGTTCTTGAAGAAGAATGAAATTAAATGTTTCAAGTCTTCTTTTAAAGTATATTACAAATTCTTTTCCCCCACAATAATTAAGGGACAACCTCAGAGTTTAAAACTTGCAGGTATTTGAATAAGGCAGCTGGGTGACTTAAAGAAACTTGTCACTATACTAAAATCACATTTTGGTAAATTTTCCATTTTGTAGCTAACAGTTTTTATAGGTGATTTTTCAACTGCTCCAATAAGTGGCAAGACACTTAATTATTATTTTACTCACACGAAGTAGTCTGGTTGTTCACTTGCTGATGAAGGACCTTCTGTGGAGGCAGTGCAAGTTTCTGTAACTCCTACAGAAAAGCAGAATTTTGACACTTGCGATGAACAGATTTTTTAATATAGCCAAACAATACCAACCTGATGGGCTTGAAAAAATCCTTTAGAGTTTTATTCTCACAGTAAATTACTTGGAATAAGCTTTATAAGTTAATAATAGGGCTCACACGACCTTCTCCACAGTAGGTAGTACCAGGGTTTAGAAAGAAGGCATGGCTACTTTATTCTACAGGTTCTGCACTACCGCAGTATTAACCCGAGGTCAGCTTTTCTTATTTGAAGACATGACGTGGCATCTGCACAGCAATTCAAATTATGCAGTAACAGAGGTAGCTGCACAAAAGACAACAGCTTGATATATACATATACATATATTTATCTCTCAACATTCAGGTTCCAGTGAAAAATAGAGTAGAAAGCTGAAGTTCCTTTCATGCCATGTTTTTATCCCTCTTTCCCTGCCAATTACAGATATCCAAAGTTAGATTTAATTTTAGCACTCTTCTAAGCAGGAAAGTCAATAGCATTGTATATGGGTTACTGGCATTCAGGCTTCAATAACCTGCAACAAAGACTTGCTCCTCATTAGCGTGGCAATACTGGGTTTGAAAGTTATTTGCACTTGCAAATTGCTCTTTTGCTCTTTTAAATGGCATTATGAAAGCACAGTACACTTAATCTCTAATCCCTCTTTTTAAAGGAATATTTCAGGAGCCCCCTATCTTTTTGATAAATAAGAAAAACAGCTACCATAGGGAAAAGTTAGCTGGAACAGGAAGGAACACTCACTATCTTGGTAATCTCTCTCTGCTTTTCATTTTGGGTTTTGTGGCAAGCTTAAAAAACACACAATCCCTTATATTCATTATTATCTTACATTGCCACTGTTTAAACACAGTATTTCTGCTAAAGTGCAACCATTCTTGCCAATCTCTGAGCCATCTGAGCTTTAAGTCATGGGGAGAAAAAAGAGCTATCATGCGATATTCTACTCAATTCTTTTGCTTTTAATATTAAAATTATTATGTGGTATAGCAGGACTATAAAAAGAAGTGTAAAAGTGGGAACAAAATTTGAGAGAAATGCAAACAGTAATATTAATAGTCACAGTATGTACAATACAACTTATGTGAACAGTTTTGCTGTGAGCATTTCATTTCCAAAAATTCAAGTGCATTTATTGACATGGCTCGGTCCATTTGAAAGATTCAGCGTCAGCACCAACTTGAAACATGGTACAAGTTTTTCCTTCCCTAGCTGTTTGGATTTTTCTTACTGGCTTCTGGAGAAAGATGCTCACATGTTTATAAATTCAAGCATAAATATTTTCAAAGCAATCCTAAGCCATGAGGGCACTGTGTAGTATGTCCAGGGTAAATGTGAAAAGACCATCTCAAAGCACCCTTCTCTACAAGCACCACACTTCAAAGAGGCACCATGCACACTCTGAAGATGCCTCTGGGCTATGATAGGAAAGGGCTAAACCGGACTTCCAATTTGCGGGCCAAACCTCTGAAATTAGACAACACACAGATTTAACAAAGGAACTGAACTCTGTCCTATTGTGTGTGTGTGTGTGTTAAGAAATCAAGTATTATTTGTGCATTTCTGTTTAGCCTTTCAATGCCATTTTAAGCGTTCACCATTCCTACATCTTTTGAAGTAATAAATTCTGCAGCTAAAATGGAGACAGGGTCACAGCACAGTTCAAACCAAAACTCTAGTAAACCACATACCAATTTAGGTAGGTTTTAGACTTTCCATGAAAAGGCAGAGTTTGATGAACTGCTGTGATACATGATGAAATACATTTACGTCTGATCAGTTTCAGTAAACTAGCAGGCAATAAATATGTGACAGGTTTTTATCCTCAGCGTTCAGTCTTTAAAACTTGCTGATGTAAAAAGTAGAGTAACTTTCAGTGAACTGTCAGTTTACTGGAAATCAAGCAAAAAAAAAAAATCCATTCCTTGTGTTTCTCTAGTACCTAGCTCTTCCTGTTAACCAGTTTCTGCCCAACAGCAATCTATTCAATATTTCTTTGTTCTAATGATTTTTGTACTACAGAGTGAGAATTCTTAAAAATGAACCTAATTTTAGATAAGGTTCCAGTAGAACAGCTTCTGGGTTTTGTTTTTTGGTTTGGGGTTTTTTTGTTTTTTTTTTTTTTAAACTAACAGTTACAATGTAATGCAATGGCAGAAAAAAAAATATTGATTCTTCATGACCATAAAGCAGGGATAATAGCAAAGCACTTAATATATAGCAAGTGGTCTACTTGCATTTCCAGTCCCTGTTTTTCCTGGCACCTTTTCACCAGGGTTACTCATATAGCAGTTAGGAAAAGCAGCATATTAATACCTTGACCTGAATCCAAATGGAAGAGCGTTTTCATCTTGGCAGTTCCTTCTTTTTGACAGTCTTTCTCCTTGCTCGCACTCGTAGCATCCTGCATTTTGCTTGTGTCCTCCTTATTATGCTCTTTTACCTTCTCAGAACTTTGGTGCTTCTTGTCTGCGGGCTTGGGAGGCCCCACCTGCACCGCGGCAGGCGCTGGCATTACTGAAGGAGTCTGAAAGGTGTATTTTCGTTGCTGGTGCCCACAGATCCTACTGCTCTTTTGACCGAAGCTGTCCACCAGCAGGTCTTGTGTCCTTTGCCCCTCAGGGGTACTGGGGGAGTGGGAGCTGGCAGTTTGAGGAGGGTTGGAAGTGGGAAGGAAAGTGGGAGGCATTGGCAGAGGAGCAGGAGTAGCTGCGGCTGGACGGCGGGGAGGCTGCGGCGGTGGAGGGGCGGCAGTGGTGCTCTCCCTGGAGGCAAGCAAGTGGCTACTGCACGATGGCTGGATTCGACTGTTCAGGTGAGATATCCTCTGCTTTTTGGTCATCAGAGGATTGCTAAAATTGGTATTCAAAACCCATTTCTGTAATAATAATTAAAAAAAGAATAATAAAAATCTGCAGGATTAAGGTTTGCTCCTGTTCTGAAAAAGGAGCATTTCTGAACAGGCAATTGTTGAAAACACATCTTTCTTATCTAAAAATAGCTGTCAAACAAGGAAGTATTGCAGCTAAACACATGGTTTATTTCACTCAGTTTCTAATCTTACGATTTAGCAAGTTGTTCTTTAAATCTACAGCTGAAAGGCTTTGGGAGAAAGCTTCTTCAGCAGCTCTATCAAAGGCTTCACCAAAACGATTATGTCAGGAGGCTATTGTTTAAGCAGTGATTTCTGTTCGGCCTGGGTTAAGAGTCAGCTTTTGCTGTCACACAGCTGTATGATTTACTAAAGCAGCCCTGAGAAGCACACAGCAGTGTGCTTATCAGAGTGTGTTAAGTGCAAAGCTGATCAGACCAGGTAAAACCCCTGGTTTTGCTGCAGGTACCATTCCAGCTATTCTCCAGCTGAAATGCTAGTTCGCATCCTCTTCTTTTAGCAAGCACACACTGCTCATGTTGATGCGCAAGTAGGAGTGCCAGGCACAGCTCTGTGCCACCCTGTTGAAATAAACCCAGATTCTGTCTGTACGGAGGCAGGTGTAAAGAGGTCCCTGGGACCTGCACCATTTCATGTTCTGACTGGAAGAAAGTTAACGAAGAACAGAGGTGTGTCCTCCCTCCTCTACTTAAATGTAAATAGCTCAGTGCTGAAAGACTTTCTGTACTTCCCAGCTTATTGCTCTACACTGCACGCACTGAAGTGCAGTTTTAGTCACAGAAAGTATCAAACTTTAAGGAAAAGTAATGCCTTTTATGCAGAGTTTTCCAACCTTCTTCTAAAAGGGTTTGCATTGTCCTCTTGTATTGATAGGAAAACAGGACGTACACATTTTAAGTCTGAAAAGGCTGGGAGAAGGCAGATGTACTACCTGCTGATTCAGAGCTGCCTTTCCACACCTGGGCTACCCTGAATGAAAATGGGTGCTTAAATTATGCCAATAGGAAAAAAAAACAACAACAACAACAACAACAACAAAATTCCTCCAAATGGACCACTACTGTAATTTGTCCTTATTCCAGGCTTTCCTAAGCTTTATATTTACACAGTAGCACTAGCACGTTTATGCATATTTTATATAACTACCACATCACAAAGAACCTTGAACACAATGCAAGCATGTACCAAAACCACATACACATCTTGTCTTTAGAAGACCTTCCTAGGCACCAAGATAAACAAGTTATGTGGCAATACAAAACAGTTTTAAGTATTTAATTAGAAAGTACAGGGTTGTGTAACAATAATGGGCAATCAAGAAGTTCAGCAGGTGATTTTAAACTCTACAGGCAAGTTTAGGCTTCTGCAAGGTCAGTGTGCTATGGATGGACAGTTACAACTTAGGCCAATGTGTTGGCTGTTCAAACACAACAGCAGTAGTCTCTGTTAGATATCTAGGTGTATTTACAAAATACTGTGTAGGAAGGAATTGCTTATTTTTCTGAGTATTTTAATAAACATTCTGAAATACAGAACACTAAATATAACAGCCCTTAAGCTATGTGACCATAAGTTTTTTCAGGCTTTGAAAGTGCAACCACCTTTTTAAAAAAAAAATCCAATTAGAAATAAATGATTCAGTTTTTCATGTGTTAAAGACAATATCAATGCTTCACATCACAGCTTTTACACCAGTATAAGGTGTGATAAATCTAAATACACTGTAAATAACGTTAAAAAAATAAAAAATACCTGAGAAGTTGATGGAGCACCTTTACTAAAAATTACAGCAGATTCCAAACGACTGGGGCTGGTGGCATTCTGAGATGACTGTAATTTTCTGTAAGGATGACCCAACATTTCAGGTTACAAGGCAAAAATGTCTATGTCATAGTTCTTTCATTATAGGGAAGACAGACATTCATTTCCCACAAAAATGTTTTCTAAATGGCTATTTTCCTTCCCCTAGAGACTGAACTTACTTAGCAAGTATTAACTCCAATGACTGTTTATCTGTTTCATTGTATCCAGGCCAATCCTTTTGAATGTCTTTAAACACAGAATCCTTCAAACCGTAAGAATTATCCTTTGGATTCAGGATGGCTACCTACAGGAAGACATTTAAGAAAACAAATGTTCATTATACCTAAATGCAAACTACAGAAATAAGATTGGTACTGCAAAGCTAAATCAAAGCTGCAAACAAAATCATGCACCAGTTTTCCAGGTTTTTTAGATGTGAAGATCGAAGTAGCTGTCATGTAATGAGCACCAATTTTAAAAAATGTGGTCAATTTGGGATGTAGAAATTTGAATGTAAGAAAATCCCAAATTGCTGCAAGCATGTATGAATTGTACTGTTGTGGTTTAACCCCAGCCAGCAACTAAGCACCATGCAGCTGCTCACCTTCCCCCCCACCTAGTGGGATCGGGGAGAGAACTGAGGGGGAAAAAAAAAAAAAAAAAAGTAAAACTCATGAGTTGAGATAAAGACAGTTTAATAGAACAGAAAGGAAGAAAATAATAATAATAATAAAATGACAATAATGATAATAAAAGGATTGGAATATACAAAACAAGCAATGCACAATGCAATTGCTCACCACTCACCAACGGACGCCCAGTCAGTTCCCGAGCAGTGATTTGCCCCCCCTCCCTGCCAACTCCCCCCAGTTTATATACTGGGCATGACGTCACACAGTATGGAATACCCCTTTGGCCAGTTTGGGTCAGCTGTCCTGACTGTGTCCCATCCGAACTTCTTGTGCCCCTCCAGCCTTCTTGCTGGCCAGGGGTGAGAAGCTGAAAAATACTTGACTTAGCCTAGACATTACTTAGCAACAACTAAAAACATCAGTGTGTTATCAACACTCTTCTCATCCTAAATCCAAAACATAGCACTATACCAGCTACTAGAAAGAAAATTAACTCTATCCCAGCTGAAACCTGGACACATACTCTTACGAAAACCTCTCTCTGCACGATCTATCTGTTTCTTTGTCTTTAACACAGCATTGAGAATCAAGACAAACCATGCCAAAACTTTAAATCTTACTGCATGAAATATGTTGAGAGGCCTAGTTTTTTATTTGTATTTATTTTTCTTTTTTAAGAACTGAAGAACATTATCTCCACATACAAATTCAGAGTTGTTCAACTTCAGGAGGACACCTGCTGTTCTTTCATTTTACACAGCTATACTGCTATGGCAGAGCACAGACTGTGCCTGGAACAATGCATGTTTTCCCTCATCCCATTAACAACCACAGTATGTCATCATTTGTCTTGATAAACAGAATTGCTGTTCCTTCTCAAGTGCCTGAGGCACAAGAAACTATATCTTTCTATTGAATAATTGTACACGATAACTTAGCTAACACTAAACTTGTTGTAGTACAAAGATGAATTATACACCTATCCCATTACTTTTAAGCCATATCAAAGTTTTACCTAATGGGAAAATAGTAACTGTACTCCTATCTAACAAGTTATATTGTGAAAACAAGATTTAGTGCTAAAATGTTTAAGGAGGGTTGTACAGCCCAGATGCACTCTTCATCTTGCAGATACGGGTTCATTACAGCAAAGTATTGTCCTGAGAAGGTCATGTGCATGCCTTGCTGTATAGCTTTGAAAATAAAATGGGTTTGTATCTTCCTTAAGAAAAATACAAAGTATACTCAAAAAGTTAAAATGAGCTAGTAAAACCCGGAGACCACTGACACCTAAAGTGCTTGTTTAGACTTCATCACCTGACACCTGTACAGAGTTTCAGAGACAGCCTCAAAGAAAAACAGTCTCTGTCAATTTGCTTGACACAAAATGCTGAATAACTCATCAACACACCACCACCACTTTTTGCAGCTTTGCCTGTTTTTTCCTCCAAAACATGATAAATACTGCTATTTCATGTCTGTGTGCATGTCTGTCTGGCTGCAGCTTAAAAAAAAATTAAAAGTAACAAAGATACCCTGAAACAGTAATTCACCTGTTAAAAAGAGAACTAAATCTGTATTATAAGAGAAGTAAATCTGTGCATATTAGATCTTGGCAAGTTCAGGCTGCTGATTTTAGACTTGTACAAAAAAATTCATTATGAAGCTAAGAAAAACGTGAGCAAGGCGTTTCGGGGTGTAATGCTGCTAATAGGACCATTTCTGAATGCAAACCAGTACCTCAAGGTAGTTCGCACCACATACAGGAAACAGACTCCAAGAAAGTCTCCTTAAACACTGACAGGCATAATGGGGCAGAAGAAAACTTCTGCACCTTTTATCCTCTGAGGGAGCTGAGCTTTCGGAATTTTATAATAAACTTAAAGTATAAATTGACTACTTCAATTTGTATGTAAGAACATGGCTCTCGTTAAATTGTGTATGTCTTCAGGATGAAAAAACCCTACCATTTTACTGGGCAAACAAAGCAACAACACTTAACATATTCAGGGAATGAGTTTTTAAAATTCAGTGTAATATCAATCAAAGCTGTATAAATGTTGAATTTTACTCACTTTGATTGGTCCCAAACCACTTTTTGCCTAGACAAGCAGGAAAAATTCCTACTTTACATATTAATACATGCATTATTCAGCCACTGTCTATGGGTACAGGGAGAATTTAAAAAGTAAGGGAGGACCCACTGCATCATACAATACTTTGAGAAACCTTTTCTGAACTATTTTAATAGAAAATTAGTAAGTGACACTCTTGAACACATAGCATAAAAGTTTAACCTATACCACATTATAGGGTTACCAATAATTTTGATAGATATGATAACAAAATACAGGTGGAACTTAGCTCAAAGGAGCACTGGAAAAGCTACTGAATAGAAAAAGGTTTCAAGTAAGGTAAAGACACAATCCACATCATAGCAAAGAAACACTATGCTCAGAATCAGATCACCACCTTTTTCATTTACGGTTTGACTGGAACACCCCTCCCTGGATTGCAAATCTAACAGATCTCAAGAGAAGACAAGTACCATTGACAGGCCACCTAATACATTCAAGTGAAATACTAACCTATGTGATTACCAAATTTCTCTTCTCCTAAACTCGTCCCAAGAAATATTAAGTACTATGACAAACTATTTCACACAATCAAGACAACGTGTGGCATTTTCTCTCAATTAAGCAGTTAAGCAGTCCAAGTAAGAGAGAGAGGAAAAAATAAGACATTAGGAGCAACAAAGCTAGAAATAGTTAATTACTTCTGCCATTCTAGCAATACAAAACCACTCCTCCCAGATTTTTCAGTCTTTCTTTCCTTTCCTCATGTTGACTTGCAGTTTGGGGCATCTGTATAAAGTCTACTGAAAAACAAACAAGGAGCATTACATAAGTTGTTTATTATTTTCTAATTTAAACACTGGAGTAACACAGCTCAAAATTATGATTAAATGAATAGCGGGAGGGAAAAATTGCTGGCACAAACTCCATGATCTTACCTGCCGAAGGACAGTTGCAAGGGAATTCCTGTCCTTTTGGTTGACACCATCTCTCTGCAAGCGGGCAAGTAACTCTGGTTTCTTGTAATTCTTCAGTGCCAGTAAGTGAATCACCCTATCCTTGTATGGTCGCTGAGAAATAGCATTATGTGCACGAGTCTTCCGTACTGTGTTTGCAGAGGTCACGCGTGTTGGTTTCTTCGTCTCGGGCACAGTATCTGGAATGTTCTGTGGTCCTCTCTTCACCTGTACTTTTCTTCCTAATGTAAGGGGG